TAAAGTAAGTAATTACTAGTTTTATTTATTACGTACTACCTACTACTTTACTTACTTACTGTAGTAAGTAGTATTTATATATATATATATATATATATATATATATATATATATATATATATATATATATTCTTGATTTTTGTAAATTTGTCCTAGTCATTAAAACCAGATCATTTCCACTACTCTGTATCAGTTGGAGTTAATCAACAGTGTATCTTTTTACACTAAAGAACTCACCTGTAGAAGAGGAGGCACTACAAGACAATGTAGCTGTTATAAGTAACCAAAAACATACTATGATGGTTGAGTTTTGCTGGTACTTATTAGTATCTCATTTGTGTGTGTGTGTGTGTTTGGGAGCTGTGCAAATGTAAAAGAAAAAAAAAAACATAAATGTGGATGTAAAATATCGGGTTGCTTCTAAGTTCTATGGTAACACTGTCTTCAGAACAGTTCTGTCTCCAGGCGGCATTATATCATAAGATGTGGAGGATATGACAGGAAGTACCACATTATAATAGGCTTTGATTTTCTACAATGTTATAGCATTATAATTTGATTGAGCTAATACATACAGATATTTGTTGTTACTAATCTATGTGCATACTCGACAGTATTCATTGACATGTACCCATTTTAGGTTTTTGCTCCAAGTATATTTGTAATGGCATGGGCTTAAGTAATAAGAATATTTTTACTTGCACACAGTATTCAGTAAACTGTCCATTAGAGTTAGTCCTTGACTGGAGCATTGTCTGAACAAAACACACAATCGAAAAATAAAACATGCCTGAGATATATAAATTACTAATGATACGGACAATTGGTCTTGCAAAATAGAGATCTGTGTATGCAAGGAATGGGAAAGGCTGTGATACATATTTAAGTGTATAACTGAAATTAGTCTAACTCAAAATTTCATACGCCCCCCCCCCTCTTCTTCTTAAATTAAGCAGTTGGTTGCAACAGTCCTGTGATGTGAATATCACTGCATCAGCTCTACTTAATTATTCAGACCATTTTGTTAATGTACGTACATTCTGTTGTTATGCTGGCTAAATAAATATTTACAGACTATTTGGTAGCAATATTTCTTTTGTAACTAAATAATAATAACAAATTTGGATTTCTGTGGAGATTTTGATTTGATCAAAAAAATTGTTTGTGAAGTAATTTTATTTTAGAAATATTTAGGAAGAACCTGAATGTGATAAACAGACATCCTGGTGGTATTACGTTATCATAGATGTAAAAAAAATAAAATAATAATACTTGGTAGACTTGATAACAAATAATATTTGCAGTGGCGGTGCTGCAGGGGGGCATTTACCCACTCACATTTTTTCGTGCTCCCCCCTCAAGGTTGTCCCCTCCCCACATTTAATCCTACAAATATAGAGCAATTGTAATGTTTATAACACAAAACACGCGCACCACCGTTTTGCGGATTTTTTTTTTTCTTCTTCTTGTAGGCCAGAAGTTAACCAGATATATCCTACAATAATAGGTATTCCCTTTAACCCTACTTTTTATACTAATGGTATTACTGCACTAAATAATTATTTATTTAATTGAATTATGCTCAGAGAACATTATTTGTTAATCCACTTTTAAACGGACTTATTATTCTCCCCCCCCCCCAAAAAAAAAATTGCTAGGTATGCTAAAATGATCAAAAATTTTCTGATTATTTCCAAGGTCTGTGGGTACTTTAAGGCTTCGAAACTCAATAAAAAAATACTTTTTTAAACCCAACGTTGCCTCAATGTAACTTAACACGCTAAAATTTGACGGGGAATAACGAGTCTCTTTAAAATTACATGTGAGTAATAAGATGTCTTGTTTTGCCACACAAATATTTGGTGATGGCACGGCCACTGAATATGTGTGTGCTACCACCCTTAAACTTTAAAATAAAAGCTTTAACTACTCAGCCAAAATATTTCAACTCCTCTAGTTTGCTAGCATACATCTTGCATCCTAAGAGCACTGTACTTGATCTTTACTCTTTCCCTCCTTTTAACCATCACTTTTGTTGACCTGCTCCTATCGGTTCAGTGTGCAGAAATTCTATGATTAATATGACCAAAAGACTAAGCTGATTTTGATTGAAATGACTAACCTTTGACCCAAAAAACGTGATTAACCACTCTTACTACAAGAAGCATGCCTAACATTTCGACCTCAAGATAATAGAGGTGAAACAAAAGAGGGTTAAAAGTCCCATCCATGACTAAAAGTTAAAAACTATTCGAAGAAATTACTTTTAGATTGGTTGTTGTTGTGACGTTCATACGAAGAGGCAAACCACCAATCCATAGAACATGCTTTGCTGGCATAATCAAAGAATTTTCTTCTGATCAGTTAATAACTTTACATCTTTATTATGGAATGATTATGTTTTAATCAGTTACTAACTTTCAAATGATATAGTGAGTAATAATTAAAACGTTTTTAATCAATCATCCTCGTAATCGTGGTTTGAGTTTCCATGTCAAGAAAACGAGAGATATCCGAGTTGTATTTTTTTTTTTATAATTTACTAACGATATTCTTATAACTATTTTTTCTTGCAATTTAGATATTACTCTAAAAGTGCATTACGTTAAGATCAGTTCTAGAATATTCGGAAATAATAGTGAACGAGAAGTTTTGCGAAATATCTAGAACAAGGCTTATATTATCAATACTGGCGAGTCAGTCAGTTGAAACTGTCAAGCACCAAAGAGGTAGATATTTTAGCCAGTAGAATGAATCAGTCAACGAGTTTACACCTTTAGATGTGTGTTAGCTATAGCGCATATTTGACTATTTTATAAAAGTAAGTATATATTTTACGTTATTACAAGTACAGCAGTTAGAATGGTTGTAACTTGTAAACGCAAGCCTAAAACTAGTAAAAAATGACGTTAATAAGGAAATAAAAACTGTTATTTTTACACGGTCTGGTCGTTAAATTATTTTCACCAGATAAATTAAAATAACCCGCAAGGTAATAACAATGTTATAACAGTAACGTAAGAACTGGGATATTTTTTTGGTGAAAAGAAAATACAACTTTGAATATACTTGAATTCAACTGTGAATATGGCGAACACGTAGAGAATGAGTGTGAATCATTACTCGAGATTATGAAATTATTAAGACAATATGAGGAGGAATGAGAAAATTTAATGAATGAGCAAGAGTAAAAAATTAATAGAAAACCAACAAGAACGTTACAGAAATTTAAATGAGGGTCAAGACGAAAGAGAAAGAAAATTAGAAGAAGAGACAAACTATTTAAAGGGGAGCTTAAATCAAAAATAAATAAATTAAAGACAACAGTGGTGTAGGAAGGAGTTGCAAAGTGTGGATGCTTGGCCAGACATGCAGATTTTACTATGAGAAATTGAAAGTATAAGTAGCCACTAAAAAAAGCTCTCGTGCTGCCAAAGGCATCTTAATCTAGGGGGTCTGGGGTCATGCCCCCCATAAGATTAATATAATTTACAGTTGCTATAGAAGTCAAATATGAAAAAAGTCGTTCCGACGTCTCTAGAAGATTTCAGTTTTCCAAAGTAAATTCATGTTTTAGCTACAGCTCCTATTGAACTATTTTGTACAAGTAAGTTGATTTTTACGTTAGTATAGAGCAGTTAGTATAGCTGTAAATAAATGTAAGCCAACAACAAAATATGGAGTACAATCCTATAAAGAAACGTTAAGGAGAGAATAAAACTAAGTTGTTATTGTTACATGGATAAGATGCTGAGTTGTTCTCAACAGATAATTTAAAGGAACCTGCCAATGAAAGAACAACGTTACAACAGTATTGTTATGAATCACTCGTTGGTTTTTTTATATTGATATTTTACTTCAATGAATAAAATATGAATAAATGAATGTATCGAACTTTTGACCCAACAGTCAATTTAGCAAGTTACTGTTTTTCCACAACTATTTGCATAGCTTCCATTTCACCAATTCAATTACGTCAATTTATTTTTATTGCTTTCATTACACATTTGTAAAGGAGATTATGTCAAAGTTGCTAATTGAATTAATAATTTCAGATATTTTGTCCAAAAATATATTTTAATACTTTGATTTTTTTTTCGTATGTATACCATTCGTATAGATTATCTCAAAGTATCCCTATTCGTTACCAGTTCTATAATTTCTGTATACGTCTTGTTGTAAACTATGTTTTTGATGCTATAATTTAGTTCGTAGCTATAGGGAGCTGCTAA